GCCAAACAAGAGACTTGCCAAGCCAAAACACATGTAGCCAATGAGCAGAACGAACGCCAAGTGGCTAGGGTATGTTGAAAACCTAGCACTGACACGTTTCCGAATCCAATATATTGGAGTTGCCTTTGTCTTAGGACAAAATCATCTGAACAGTCTCCTGAAGCCGATGCCTGTAATCTGCCCCAAAACAAATAACGGTTTATGAAAACGGACAGAAGCGATATCTGTTTTGCAAGGCTAGACAGAGATTTCTCTTTGACTCATGGGGAAACACTTCCCGCTGGTTTAACATTGAAGATATCTCTAAAACTGAAACTGATTTTCCGTAATATTCTCACCAAATAGTGTACATACTAGTAGGACAAACTGATTGACATGCTCAAGCAGAAGTGCATCCAAAAATACGAACGATTAATTAGAATCGTGACAATTTCGATTTGGCTCCCTGTACCTTTTCAAGCATAGACTGGCCATCTGTCGGCTCAGATTGAAAGATGTTTCTCTAAACAATCTTACAAATGTTCAGCCGATCGCTGATTGAGTCCCTCAAACGAGTTATATCGCTGGCCAGGACGTAGTGCAAATAAGAAACGTGATTAAATGTAATACCCATCTATCGTAATTCACCGACTTCAGGACAACCAAGGCATCGTTCAACGAACACTGGCGTTTTCATAATCGAAATCAGCTCATCAACTCACCATGTAACACATGATAATGACCGTCTACGTCTCACTTGTTCAGCAGGTTTGATCACATACAATATTTATGTCTCTGTTTTCCAAAACAATTATTTCATTTTAAAATCTTAAAACATTTTAAATCTTCAACTACTGTGATTGGGCAGATTTCGAGCGATTCTGAGAAATTTTCTGAACTTCACAAGATTCGGAATAGCGGTTTTTCAAAAGGCTAATCCATGAGTATAAAATCACCTATGTTACAAATACCAACGAAACCATAGTAGTATCGCAGTACAAAGAGAATATAACTGCCCGGGTAGCAACAGTAGAACTCATGGTGCTAGATGAACCTTATCTTTATTTATTTATTTATTTATTTATTA